CCCCCCCCACCCCCGTTTCCCTCCCCCTTTCATTTTTTCGGGTTTTTTCCCCTTTCCCCCCCGCGCGCTGCTCCCTTGAGGAATTTCAGGGCTGCTCGGGATGGGGTGGGGATGGGGACACTCGTGTCACCCCAGGACCCCGCGATGGGGACACGCGTGACAAGGGCGGCGGGGAGGGCTCTTCAAAGGGCGATGTGGCACCGGGGGGGGGGGGGGGGGGACGACCCCAGGGATTGTGACCCCCCCCACCCGCACTGCAGGGACACCCCGAGGGGCTTCTGGTGGAGGGGGTGGTGCTGAGACCTTCCTGGGATCTCAGGGAATTTGGGATGAGGGTGGGGATTCTGGGGTGAAGCCGTGGTTGGAGGGCGGGGGGCTGAGACCTTTGTGTCCCCCTGTGACACCCCCAGGGCAGCCGGTTTGGGGGTGCTGGGACCCTTTTGTGTCACCTTAGAACGCCCAGATTAGTGCTGAGACCCTTTTGTGTCCCCCAGAGGTGACACCCCCAGATCAGCCTGGTTTGGGGTGCTGGGACTCGTTTGTGTCACCCACAAGTGACACCCCCCCTCAGAACCCCCAGATCAACCTGGTTTGGGGTGCTGGGACCCTTTTGTGTCACCTTAGAGCCCCCAGCGCAGCTGATTTGGGGGTGCTGAGCCCCTTTTGTGCCCCCCAGAGGTGACACCCTCCCCTTAACCTCCAGATCAGCCTGGCTTGGGGGTGCTGAGACCCTTTTGTGTCCCCCACAAGTGACACCCTCCCCTTGCAGCCCCCAGGGGCAGCTGGTTTGGGGGTGCTGAGCCCCTTTTGTGTCCCCCTGAGGTGACACCCCCAGATCAGCCTGGTTTGGGGTGCTGAGCCCCTCTTGTGTCCCCCCCCTCAGAGTCCCAGCGAGGTTTGGGGTGCTGAGCCCCGGCAGAGCTGGGGACAGCCCCCGTGTCCCCCCCCACTGCAGGGCTGGTGGCAGCGGTGCCGTGCCTGTCACACCCCAGGGGCTCCTTCCCAGCTGGATCTGGGCTGGGAATGATTTGGGATGAAGGGGGGGGTGTCTCCCTCACAGCCCTGGTGACACTGTTGGGGACACGAGGCCATCCCCATCCCTGCCCCGGGGCCGAGTCCCTGCTCCAGCAGCGTTTTCTATTTTGGAGGCTGTGAAATCCTTTCCAAACCTCCGAAAATTCCTTCCCTCTTTCCTCCTGGGGGAGATGACGGGAAAACAAACAGCACATGACACCCGTTAGTCACAATTTTTAGGAGTGACACCACAAAAGAAGCTGTGGCTGTCCCTGCCCCAAACCAGGACCAGCTCAGCCCCTCCAGTTCTGGGGTTTTTTCCTTAAAAATGGAGATATTTTTCCTACCAAGGGGGTGGTGATGGGGCTGCCTCCATCCAGGAGGAAGATGGGTTTATTCCCTGTCCAAGGAGGGTTTATTCCCTGTCCAAGGAGGGTTTATTCCCTATCCAAGGATATTTTATTCCCTATCCAGAGTGGGTTTATTCCCTATCCAAGGAGGGTTTATTCCCTATCCAGAGTGGGTTTATTCCCTATCCAAGGAGATTTTATTCCCTATCCAGAGTGGGTTTATTCCCTATCCAAGGAGGGTTTATTCCCTATCCAGGGTGGGTTTATTCCCTATCCAAGGAGGGTTTATTCCCTATCCAAGGAGGGTTAAGCAGGATCAGGCAGAGATCTGCAGGTGTCTCCATGCCCATTCCCTGCTCCTTTCACCCTCCTGCGCCTCTGGTTTATTTTTTGCTCATCCAAAGTGGCCTTTGCTTGCCTGGATAAAACCACGGAATTCCGGCCTCGGGAAAGGGCCCAGGGGACTGTGGGTTATGGGGTCATGGAAAAGGGAGGCCTGCCCTCTGTGGGATCCTGGTGGCTTTGGGATTGGCACCAGGGCCGGGCTGGGCACAAACCCGGCGGAGGTTTCCTCTCTCCTCCGCGGCTCTTCCTGGTGTTCTCACTCCCGGGTTTTTCCTGCTGGGAAAAACCACGTGGCCAACCCCACACTCTGAAACCCAAAGCTTTTGGAATGTTCTCGGCCCTAAAGGTCTCCACTGTGCTCCTCAAAACGCTTTTTGCATCCTGCGTGGATGCTGGATGTTAGGAAGGAATTGTGCCCTGGGAGGGTTGGGAGGGGTTGGGATGGAATTCCCAGGTTTGCTGTGGCTGCCCCTGCATCCCTGGCAGTGCCCAAGGCTGGGATGGGATTTGGAGCACCCTGGGAGCTGTCCCTGGCCATGACAGGGAGTGCAACCGATGATCTTCAAAGCCCCTTCCAACTCAAGCCGTTCCACAATTCCATGATTTTTGGCATCACTTGTGATTCCAAGCCGGCAAGGATCCCAAATCCTAATTCGTTCCTAAATCCTAATTAACTCCTAAATCCTAATTCCTGCATCAGGGGTGGCCAAAAGCCTCCCGAGCTCAGGTATTCCAACAAAACTCTGTCCCAGGATAACCCTGGCTCCTTCTCCCGCTCCTTGAGCTCCCACAAACTCTTTTCCTGGGATCTGTGACATTCTGGGAGTTAATTCTTTTTTCAAGTTTTCCCTTTCATCAGCTGGAGATTGAGTCCAGCCTGCCCAGTTCTGGAATTCGGGAGTTTTAGCCTCATTTCTTCCCTCTATCACCTGCTAATTGCTTCTTTTGGGAGTCGAGCACCTCCCACCCCACCCATCCTGGGCTGATCCCGATTTAGGGAATCCTCTTCTCCCTAAAAACCCATCCCCGAGCTGCACTCGGAGATAAGCTGAGCCTGCCTCTAATGGGGTTAAAATTGGTTATTCTGCTCTTATCAAGATCCTGAGGAGCAGATCAAGGCTTCTTCCTTCAGGTGTGGCCTCTCCTGAGCTCGTCATTCCCGAGTTTTTGTTGTTCCACCGCTCCAGCTTCCAGCTCTCCCCACCCTGAAATTCAGAGAGCTCTCAGGAGAAAGGAATTGGACCTAGGAGGAGCTTAAATCCTAAACTGAGCCCAAGTTTTCCTCTTGACCTGCCAGGGAAGCAAGGGAAGAACTTGGAAAAGGCAGAATTTTCCACGGGATTCCCCAATTTCCACAGGGAGGGGGCTGCTCTTGGGAGGTTCATGGAAAGCTTTGGAGCAGTTGGAAGCTCCGTGGAGAGAGGATTTCCTGGGAAATCTTTTTGGTGGATGATGATCCAGTCTGAAGCATTGTGGGGTTTTCGGGTGTTCGGTGACCTCTCGGATTCCGGGTTTGCTTCATCTCCCAGCTCGACCCTTCGCTTGTCCCTTCCCAATTCCCTGAT